GTGTATGTTTCAAGTCCTTATGTGTGTAAAGTATCATTTGGCTGTATTTGTATTTTCTATTATATGCATTTCAGTGATAATGATCAACGAATTAAATTCAGAGCTTCGTTATTAACTTAGTTAATTGACTACTTTCGAACATCAATTAGTTTTATGTAGCATAATTGTTTAATAACAATTATTTTTACATTCAGTAACATAATCAAATAATTTTTTCTAATTATTACTCTATTCAATTACTCTAACTGTCCAAGTAATAGAAAACTATAATCAAGATTTCTCATTATTATTCATCTTTGTTCAGCTTAATTGATTAGTGTCATGAACCCAAAAAATAATCAGCTAATTAAAATTAATGTTTCTAATTATTACTTTTTTATTATTCTAATTGTCCAAGTCTCCTTTGAGAATAATTAGTTAGTTGAATGTAATTGATTGATTAATGAGCCAGATGATTTATTGATTACCTAATTTCACTGATCACCTAACTCTGTAAGTGATAATTGGGAGTACCTGGCTGTTTACAGTCAATGTAGTGATTACAAGTCCAAAATCTTTAAAAATCTTATTGTATTTTAACTGTTGAATGATATTAAATTTTTTAACCATATTTTGTATTATATTAGAAACGTATGTCCTTAATCCAAAATCTCTTGTTAACGGTAAGGTGATGGAGAAGTACCCTGTGATGTACGGAGAATCCATGAACACAGTTCTGCGACAGGAGTTGATCCGTTTCAACCGTCTGACATCCGTTGTGAGAAGCTCACTTCAAAACATGCAGAAAGCATTGCAGGGTCTAGTGTTGATGTCTTCAGAGTTAGAAGAAGTTTTTAACAGCATGTTGATTGGGAAAGTCCCATCCATGTGGGCTGCCAAGTCATATCCGTCCTTAAAACCATTAGGTGGATATGTAAGTGATTTGTTAGCTAGGTGAGTGACTGTTATCTTTTTCACAGAGATATCTCAATCAATTCCCTTATGACACCAGAGCTGAAATAAAAAATTCCCCACGCGTACACGACGAAAAAAAAATAAAAACTATAAGTAAATGTGAAGAAATAAATTCAGATTATCAGTGAAATAATTCTTAATGTAATAACAGCTCAACAAAAACGTAAAATTAAATAAAACAAATACTTCATGGATTTTATTCATGTGAATGACGTTTCTATGAACACTGAATGTGAATCTCAAGGGAATGTCCACTAATTACCATATGACTATAACAGATGGAAGATATCTACTAGTATGGAAAATAAGGTGTATTAAATTATGTGACTTTCATTAATTTTATGATCAGTGTTTTAATTTATTGATGAGGACTTGACATGTAGCATAAGTAGAAATTACTGTCACTATTCAAAGAAACGAATTTAAATGTTTTCTACTTTTTTTTTTATAGACTTCTCCTACAGATTAAAAATAGTTTACTAACTAGCTCTACTTAAGAAAACAAATATATACAACTAGTTTCGATTGAGAGTTTTCCATCATATATGTATAACTTAGGTATATCTGTGTGGTGTTTTAATTAGTCAGTAAGCTTTGGCTCTTAAAATAAAAGAGATTTATCAGAAATAAATATCAAGTAAAAGTGTGTATTAATAAATTTGTCATAAATTTGAATTAATTTAATTTGTTTAATTTCTGACTGATACTTCTCTTCAAATGTCAATCTATATTAAAGTTTTTTACTTTCACAATAAATATTTAACTATGCAGTCTCTTGTTGTCTTCATTTTATTAAGGCTGAAGTTTCTACAAAATTGGATTGATCATGGAATTCCAAATGTGTTCTGGATATCGGGCTTCTTCTTTACTCAGTCGTTTCTAACTGGTAAGATGTATATATATCTTCAGTAAAGCATGTAAAAAGTACTGAGAGTAAATTACGAAGTAAATTTTGTGTAGAAGTAACAGTTTTGGAATAGAATCTAAATAGTATATTCAGTGTTTTCACATGTAGATCTGTAATAAGTAA